GTTTATATATGTATAGAACTTTGTTGCATCTATGAGCAAAACCTTCAGGTTTGCATAATATTTTTCTGGATGGAATAATGAGTTAGCCGTTTTTAAAAATCGGCTCAAAACGAGCCGTTTAACAACACTAGTGCCACCAATCCCATCACAAACACTTTTCCCGTATGCTGTAGCAGAAAAATTCCATTTCGCCTGTACCCCGAAATCCATCTCATGATGGCAAATATTAATAAAATTTTACGTTTTTGTACTGTGCAGCGGATCCACCGAAAAATAAAAAATTTTATTAATTAAAAAATTTAGCAATGTTTTTTTAAAATTATGTACTGCTATTGTATTGTGTTGCAAAGATTCGGATATCATTACATAATTTAGGCAACAAATATTGGCAAAATTATCTTTATAATATATAACAAAAGGGTGAACAGTGGATTGAGCCCTATTCCAATGATAATTTTGTACTTCATCCTAAAGTATAAAGCTATAGTTTTCTTAAAAATCACAAAATTAAATATTGGTCTTCGTCTAAGTTCAATTTTAGATTGTTTTGATACAACGATTGTTGCGTTGAAATAAAAAAATGATAAAGATTCCATTTATTTTAAAAAGGCATTAATAAATTCACCTACTGGTTTGGTTATTGTTTCAAGGGTGGTTCTATCTACGGATAGCCATTGTTTGTATGTTATAAATTCGATGTCCTTAGAACGAAACAATATTTCTATTTGATCGCGTAAATGTGTTGACCCTGGACAATTATCACATTTGCCCATATTAATGGATGGTTGAGGCGAATTACAAATTATTAAGTGTAAAATATGTTTGTATGTTTTAAAGGGCAACATATCATTGGTTAAATTTGATCCAATGATCATTAATTTAAATTTTGGTGGTAGCTGCAATCACATACATGTGTACCACTACCTTCAACGAGTATACAATTTTTGGGCGAATGCTTGCGAATTTCGAAAAACCAATTTTAACATCAGGCCTCATTTCTTTAAAAAATATATAAATTTTTTTCAAATTATCTAAAATTAATCTCTTATGGTATTCTTTTTTCCGTCTTTGGTCAAAATCGAAACGCAATCTTTCTTGTCTGGTATGATTCTGCTTATTTCGTCCATACAATAAAATTCTTGTACAATTTTAACTGTATATTCGTCTATAGTTTTTCCAGGCTTGGGGTTAGGTGTTGATAGAAATCAAAATACCAAGAAATTTATTAAAAAATGAATTAATATAGTGAGTATGTGTTATTGAATGAATAAAACCCTTTCGCGCTTGAAATATTTCCCATAAACAAAAAATACTTGTACTTTGATATAATAAAATAATCATTTTGACATAATAAAATAATGATTTTGACAGGTTAATGATAAAATATGAAATAATAAATATTGTTTTATAAATTAATATCTCTAAGTACCAACCATTAGTTTCTTTAAATATAAAAATTAATTGATTAAAAATTTTAATGACAAATGATCTCGCTGTGCGCGAAAGGGTTAATCAATTTTAAAATTTTTATTTATTTTATTGATTGAAACACTTATTTATTGTTATTCTAATTTAGAAAGACTATGCCGATTTTAGAAAATCCGATCCAATATTTATATTGTTTTGGGTAATTTTATGATAATACTTTTATTTTGTATATAATTTCATAATAATAATAAATTAATATTTGTAATATTTTAAAAATTTCAAATTATTTTAAAAAATTGAGTAGAGAAAATTTTGATATTATTTTTGGCGTCTATGAAATGAACAAGATTCTGATTCATATATTCAAGAACTATAAACTTGGTTGAATATATTTTATTAATATTCATTAAGTATATGTTATATGGGCAAAAAATTTTATAATAAAGTAATAAATTGAATTTCTTTTATCGATAGACAATTTCTATAATTGAATGAAAGCCCCATTTATTGTTATTTTCACTTACAAGATGAATAATCCTTTAAATTATATCAAATAGTCCAAGAAAAACCATTAAAAACTGATTAATATATAATTTTATACAAAGACGCCCCCTTTCGGGAAAATATTTATACACTTTTCTAAACATTTTTATCGATTTTGAGAATGAAGATGGCCGCGTCCCAGACCAATTTTTTTTTATAAATATAAAGGAAGAGTTTAATAATGTCTACTAAATTTTTTAAAAAAATTGAAGGTCGTATTATTTCCAAAAAATCGTTTTTAGTCCTTATATATTAAATAAAATGACCGGAAATTGGGAAAAAAAATAAAAATTTTTTTTTATCTAAAAGTAGAATCTTTGTACGTAATTTTGATATTAAATTTGTTATTTACAATTATGTAGTTTTTAAGATATGCTTAATTGAATGAAGGCAGATAATGGTAAAAATACGTCATTTTTGACACTTTGAACCCTAATATCTTCAAAAATATAAATGTTAGGAGGCTAAAATTTTGGCTATTTCTTAGTTACATCGACCTTTCTTTGCTTACCAAATTTTAAAAAAATCGAAGAGGGTCGGCCGAATCGTGGTTGATTTGTCATGGAATGACCCCTATAGCTTTTAAGTTTTAGCATGCAATTTGTTAATCCAGGACAATTAAGTTATTTTTCCAATCTATTTCGTTAATTATGTATACTCCAGCTCCAGTATCTAATTCAATTCTGATATCGCTGTTGTTTATTTTAACATCCATCCAAAATTCTGAATTATATTCGTTTGTTTTATTATTAATAAAATTCACTATTTCTTTTCTACAGACTCGAGCAATGTGCCCAATTTTGTGTCATTTATAACAAGTGGCATTCCTGAAGATACAATTTTCCCTTCTATGGTTTCCGCCGCAGGAGTGGCAGGGATTTGGTTTTTTGTAGCTCGTATTATAATTATTATATGATTTGGATTGTTTATCATTATCATTATTAACTTTTTGAATTTTATTTATATTATCATTATGTTCCTCTTCTAACTGATCGATTTTAGTTTCATCATTTTGTATTTTTTATAGCTGTTTCTACTGCAGTAGCTATTTGAATAGCTTTATTTATGTCTATATCATCTTCAGATAATAATCTTTGTAAAATTTTAGGATTATTTATTCCAAATATAAATTTACCTCTTAATGCAGTATTTAAATATTCCCCAATTCACAAGTCGTTGCTAATTTTCGAAGATTTTGTATATAGTCTTAATCTTTCCTCATTTTTTTGATTATATTGATAAAAACTATATCTTTCTACAATTATATTAGGAGTAGGATGAAAAAATTTGAGTAAAATGTTATATATTTCTAATATCTCTTTATTTCCTGGACTATCTGGTGCACATAAATGTACCAATATTTTATAAGTATCACATCCTATTGTTCTTAATAACAGGGATTTTTCTTGATGTTAACCTTGGTTGTGTGTTTTTAAATTCTATATAAATCGTACCAATCTTTGTAACACAAGTTTGAATCTGTTAAACTTTTTATCGACTGCGCCACATTATGATAAATAATATATAATAATGAAAATAAACATTTTACAAAAAATACAAAACAACAATTCAATACATATCATAAAATATAGTGTTAAGTTCTTTTTTAATTTTTTGTAAGCTCCAATTCGGAGATAATATCGGTTTTAGATAAGAATAGATAACTATTTTTCATATTAAATTATCAAATTGTTGCTATTATTTATCTCCATCGCTGGTTGAAGAATATCGCCTATACCCTTTGAAATTCTCGCAAGCTTTTGCTTAAGATATCCCTTTTCTTTTAATCTCTTTTTTTTAATTAGAGATTGTCCAATATCTAATATCGTTCAATTTAAGAACTCTAAGAAAGTTGTAGGGGTTGTGCGTCATCGTTATTAATTGGAATATCATTTTCTATTTCTATGCTGTAATTTAAGACTTCATTTTAAGTTGTAGCGGTGGCATTCAACAATAATAATCGCCAATATTGATTTTGGCAAATTCCATCATCCAGCGACTTTGCGTAATCCCTTCTTTGATTAATGTTTTTTATATTAAAAGAATTTTTACATATGATATTTAAATATTATAAATAATTTTAAAAAGCGATAAATTTCTGTAAAGATTGGCAACTGGAATTGATAAATTTATTGGTAAAATGAATCGAAAAATCAATAATTAATTTAAATCATAATTAGCTATTTTTTAAAATTACTTGCGCCATATAGCGGAAATTGTATTTTTGTGCCAAAATAGGATTTTATTCAACAATTTATATTATGGAATATAAAGACTTATATTTTAAAAAATCTTTTGAAATTATTAACGCCATCTAGTTGTATTTTTTTTAAGCATTTATCCTACTTTACCTTTTTTTACCACTCTAAATATCTAAAAACTAACATTAAAAAAATAATTAATTATAAATTTTTGACCGCAATTTTAAAAAATTTATAAATTATAAATTAATTTTTTTTAAAATACATCGAAGATTTTACTTAGTGCTATAAAATGAGCAATGATAGATATATATAGCGCATCCAATATTAAAGTTATCCCTATTTTAAAAAATCATTTTCGAAAAATGATCAAACAGAGCTACCTTGAGACTATATCTCTGGTTCTAGTAGAGTTAAGGGGCTAATATTTTAGTTCGCCAATGCAACACTTCATTAACTTATATACCAAATTTTAGCAAAATCTGAGATGGCCGGGTTGTAAAGTGATTTATTTGATGTGGAATGACCCTTATTGACATATAACAATTTCAAAAAAATATTTTGTTTTAACATGATTCTTGGAATCTTCTTGCATCTTTTTCGAGATTTTCATTCATAATTGTTTTTCATCCATCCTTACAAAATATTTTAGATCTTGTAACCTCGATAAACGATTATCGATAAAAGGCTCAAAATATTTCTTTCCTGGGGAAGGGGGGTAATTTTAGTTAGTCAGTCATATTATATTATTGTGTTTTAAGAATTTATATGCACATGGTTTTAATTTTAGCGAATTTTTTTAAAAACAAACTATTCAATGATGATCAGGTTCCGGGAAAACGGCCGCATTCTTGATTCCTATTATCAACAAAATTATGGAAATTCCTTTCTACGTTGCCAACAAAGCAAGGGTATGTTATTCAGCGATTTAATGATAGTATTTAAAATAAAAATTTAATTGTTTTTTAATTTAATATTATTATTATCTTAGGTAACACCTAATATCCTCCTCTAAATTTTCATAAATAAATTGTTGTCTATTATATTACCATATTTCTTATTTTGGTGAAAAAATTATAAACCTAATCTTGAATATTAAAATGCTTTTTTGGTTATTCTCCTTACCCCTTTTAAAAAGAATTATTTTTTATTTTCTTTCTATTTTTGCCATAAAATTTAAAAAATAAAATTAGATTTTATGATTAAATATAAAAAACTTTCTTTAATTTCAAACATTTTTAAAAAAATGTATCTGATAAGCTCACTTTTTAATAGAAAATGAAGTCAGTCACTATTGAAAACATTTAGTTCAACTTCTTAATCGGTTTCCATTTTTCCTCTTTCTCTGCCACTAATATTTACCTTATATCTTTTCCCTTGGCTTGATTATTATATGGTTCTAATTAGAGTTTGTCAGACTAATAGGGTTCTGTTTTATATCTCAGTTGGACCTTAAAAAATAAGTTCAATGCAGGGCTCTACCATAGATTTATCTTTTTGTTGCTAATTTTTTATATTAGTTCAATAAAAATTAAAATATATTTTAAATAAAAAACAGATTTGTAAAAAATAGGCAGCTTAAAATTTTTAATTAACATTTAAAAATTTGAGTGACTTAAAAAGAATTGTAGTTTCTGAACCCAAACTTAATCGAACTTATATTTTGCTGAACACACCTTGAACTGAACAGGGTTTATGATTTTTATCTGGGATGAACTATGATCCAAATCTGGCCAAAAAACCTGCAAGTATAGATCTCAAATAACCTTTCTAAAATGAATTCTATTTTTTCATTTATTGACATTCTAAAAGATCCAAATTTGGGCTTTAAATAATTTTGGTAATTTGATTTCTTTTTCATTTAATTGTTTATCTTCCTAGAAATCGTTATCGGAGCCAGATCCACCATTTGTCACACCACACGCTTTGATTTTATCCCCTACCCGGGAGTTGGCTTTGCAGATTCACTCTGAATGTCTTAAACTTACTCTCAAAACCCGGATCAAATGTAAAGTAGTCTATGGAGGAACAAAACCATGGGCCCAAATTAGTAATTTACGGTCTGGAGGAGGTTGCCATATATTAGTGGCTACCCCAGGAAGACTTAGGGATATCCTAGAGAGAAGGGATACAAGAGATTTTACTGCCAATTATAATAACAATAATTATGGGGCTAGCGGTTATGGTGCTAACGGATATAACCCAGCCCAAAACGGACAAATGGGAATGAACGGAAATGTGGCAACGACTGGCAGAAGAGTACTTTCACTTGCGCTTTGCGAGTATTTTGATATTAAAAATGAATAGCTGATTTTATACACATTATCGGGTTGAATACCATCAGAATACATTCAATAATTCAAAAAAGACTTATTTTTTTAAATTATAAATGACAGAAAATATTAGCATATTATTTCTACAAATTCTACTAGAAATTATCTACACTTTTTAATATAACTTTTTTTTTTCTTAAGAAAATTGTAAAACTGATGAAATTTTTTGACCATTTATTAGGATCACTTTTTTTCAAGATATTTAGAGTTTTTTTCTGAATAATAAAACTTTTTAATTAATAATATTTTTAGGGCAACAGGCTGGAATAGTAATTTCCATAATATAGAGAAAAATAGTACTTTATTTTTATGAATAGTGTAAAAATTCCATCTATTCGAATATTATTTCATTTATAATAATATAATTTTTAACAATATTTGAATAAGTTTAACCCTTTCGCGCCCATGGATAACTTTTGGAATCATAATTTTTCAATAGTATTTTTTATGCATTAAAAATAACCACTGATAACTTTTGAAATCATATTTTTAATTTTGAATATTTGCTGTTTCGTATTTTATCAATAACTCGCTTTGTTACATATGTTATTATATCATATTATAGTTATAAAAAATCAATTTTTTCTTACCAATTTCGCGCCAAAATTTTAATTCATATTTCTGGTTATCAAATCTTGCTAAAAATATAAGTAATAATTTTATTATTAATATATATATATATTAATATTTTTATTTAAAAATTATCATCTTTTTAATCATTTTGTGTGTTGGAAATTGAACATAATGCCATTTGGCATCATTGGTCATTTCTTATGCACTAAAATATTTTTTATCAATAAATGGAAATTTTTGGCAAATTATTTAGGATATTTAGATTTAAAATTATGGAAACGGAAGGGGGGGGGGTAATTAGATTAGATTTTGTTAATAGTTACCTATATTGATTATCTAATATCTATTAGTGGGTTTTCTTGGATATTGGGAGAGGTTCTAATAAATATTTTATATAAATAAAATGTAATATGAAATGCTTTTTATATCAATATGCATTTAGATATACTACACTTATCCCCGAGGGTGATATATCTGAGGCTGATATAGAGGGCTCAGACGAAGAAGACAATATATTATTCTTTGCTGGCAGATGATTTGCCGACTTCATCTTATATAACAAATCAACTAGGCCTTGATGTGGAGGATATAATAGAAGATACTTCTATAATTAAAATAAAAGATAACCCCATGTGGTCTAAGAAAGACATAGGAAATATGAATACAGAATATATCCCTATATTAGAAATTCCTGAAGAGGATTCAACTCCACTAACATATTTTCGTAAATTTTTTGACAATCAGATAATCAGTAATTTTGTATCGGAAACAAATATTTATTCATTCCAATGTTCCGGTAAATCTATAAATACAGATAGTGATGAAATTGAAAAATTTATTGGGATACATTTATATACTAGTATAGTTAAGATGCCTTCTATACGACAATATTGGTCTGTTGAAACATCTATTCCACAAATAGCGGAAACTATGTCCCGCAACCGTTTCCTTTTGATCCGGAAATTTTTCCATGTCAATAATAACAAGGATATGGTAGCTAGGGAAGACAAAGGATACAACAAATTATTCAAAATTCAACCCTTCATATTCCAATTAAAACAAAATTTCAAAAAAATTAAACTTGAAGAGAAGTTAGCCATCGATGAATTCATAATTCCCTTCAAGGGACGATCAATATTACGACAATATATCAAATCGAAGCCCCATAAATGGGGGATAAAAGTGTTTGCTTTATGTGGCTCTTCCGGGTACATGTATGATTTTGAAATATACCAGGGAAAGTCAACAAACATCATAAAATCATGTTTGGGTATCAGTGGGGATATCGTTCTTCGGCTATCGGAAATTATACCTCCAAACATAAACCACAAATTATATATGGATAATTTTTTCTCCTCATATCAATTATATTTGATGCTTAAAAAAAGGGATATTTGGTATCTGGAACGATAAGATCAAATCGCTTATCAGGGTGCACACTTAAAAATGATAAGGCTTTAAAAAAAGAAGGAAGAGGCGCCATAGATTACAAAAGCGAAAAGAATGGTATTATTATCTGCAAGTGGCAGGACAACAAAGCCGTTACTACTATATCTAACTTGGTGTTTTACCTACAACCAAAGTTAAGCGATGGTCTGTTTCGGATAAAGTCTTTATAAATGTAGAAATGCCCTCAATAATTAAAAACTATAATGAGGGTATGGGTGGAGTAGATCTTCACGATATGCTGGTGGAGTTATATCGGACAGATATTAAATGGAAACGATATTATATGCGAATGGTTTTCCATTTATTGGATTCTTGTGTGGTAAATTATTGGATTCTTGTGTGGTAAATGCCTGGCTCCTATATAGACGCCATATGAAAGCATTAAATAATATAAAATTTATGCCTTTACTGGTATTTAAATCGCAGATAGCAAAAGGGTTGATGCTTGCAGGAAAGGATAATACAAAGAAAACCGGCAGACCTTCCAGCATAGATGTTAAAAGAAGAAAAGCTATCAACATTGCCCCCATATCGGATATAAGATATGACCAAGTAGGTCATTTCCCAATGCCCGTAAGTATTAAGCAAAGGTGCAAGTATTGCGTAGAAGCCTATTCAAGAATTATTTGCAAAAAATGTAATATCTATTTATGTTTAAATAATAAACGAAATTGTTATTTGTCATTTCATATGAAATAAAATATTTTTTAAATGAACTTGCATTTTGCCCATTGATAACAATTGGAATCATTGAATATCTTTTGATAGAAATACTGGAAATAAGTTTTTTTGATGAAAATGTGTTATTTGTGTCTATAATAAATAACTCTTAAAAAAAAAATTTTTTCATCGAGGGAAAACAAGTCTGGCACGAAAGGGTTAAAAACTTTTATCATTAATAAATACGGAACATATCATGTGAAATAAAATAAGCTACCTTAAAAATATTATATCTTACAATTAGTATTAAACAAGCACACCTTTTAGAACTATTTGGAAAATAATTTATAGTCCAATAAAAATATTTTAAGCATTATTTTGTATAATAAAAAATTTACTTGAAAATGATGAGTTAGTTATATAAATTATTTTTAAGTAATTTGCTGTTTCTGGCTTTTGAAAAAAATTTTTAAATAGTTAGAGATACACCAATATCAAACCTAATACTTTACTGCCAAGAGTAAAATTTTCCATAATTTACTATTTAAATAATAATATGATATACAAATTTATATAAAATTCAGAAACCTGCAGGCCCGATCCTAATATTTTTATTTTTTTAAATATACCCAAGCAGGTCCTAAAATTTACTAAATAGAAAAAAATCGTAAATATCAAAATAAAATTATCTAAATACATATAATGACGACGGTTGAATGATAAAATTCGATTGGAATATTTTAACGAATATCTTTGATTTGAATATACTTTAGGCGCACTAGTGATAAATAGACTAATATTTTGTTTGTTAAAAAATAAATAAAAGGTTTTTAGTTCTGGATGAAGCTGATAAAATGTTGGACATGGGATTCGAGCCCCAAATACGAGATGTTATAGAGAATTACGATCTACCTATGATAGGCGCTCGACAAACTATGCTTTTCTCTGCCACTTTTCCTAAAGAAATTCAGGTTTCTTTTTATAAGTTGGAAATTCTTAATTATTTTATATAAAAATATTAACCTTATTATTTGGATATTCCAGCCCTAAATTTTTTTTGTTTCATCACCATTTCGATTATTTTAAATATGATAAATTCTAAGGTTGTATATGATTAAAAATCGATGAAGCGTATTATAAAAGTAATATCAGAATTTTTTAAAAAAGGGAACCAATGATAAATTAAACAAAATACAAATAAATATAAAAATAAATCATTGTATTTGTAAATCCTTAAAGATTTTAAAATTGCTAGGTTTAACATTTTTTTTTAAATGGTAGCTAACGGAATGATCCCTACCTTATAAAGTCTGGGGTTGGGGTGATATCAATTTTATCAGATATAAATATAGTATAATATATAATAAATTATTCCAGGCTATGGCTCAAGATTTTTTGAAAGATTATTTGTTTTTGACTGTTGGCAAAATCGGAGCTACTACTGAAGATATAACACAAAAGTTGCTATGGGTCGAGGATAACGAGAAAAAAAGAACTCTCATGAACTTACTCAATATGGAAGGTATTATAGAGCTAATAATTAATGCAACCTTAAAGAAAGTAAGGGTAATAGAATCAAATTTAATAAGGCTGTTTCTCTTAATCATATTAACAATATGCTAATCGCATACTTATCTTAATAAATAAATAAATAAAAAGATCTGGAAACTGCTTCTATCCTTATTTTCCTGGAGCGCAAAAAATGTGTAGACTCCCTCGAAAATTACTTGAGAGCTCAAGGTTATCAGGCCATGAGCATACACGGTGATCATTGCCAGGATAAACGAGAACAATCGCTCACTGCTTTTAAAACTGGAAGGATTGCCATTTTACTTGCTACTTCTGTAACCCCTATTACAAACTAATTTACAAAAAATAATTGAAAAGAGGGGAGATAATATAATAGATTTCATAAGAGGGGTCATATTTAAATACATATAGTTTATTGGAATCATCGAGGCTTATCGATATTAATCATAAAGGAAGAGTATCCTAACGATAATATTCTTTTTCTATGATGTATGTTTGCTTAGGGGTTTAAATAAATTGATATAATTAAATTAATCATTTAAATAAATTAGTTTTGTTAAACTGCTTTATTTCACCAATTTGCAATTAAAATATTAGGCAAAATAATATTACGTAAGCCTCGATATTTCGTTAATGGACGTCAAACCATTATGCCATCTATGAGCAAAATTTACAGGCTCGCTTAATATTTTTATAATCAATTTTAAATAGTTATTATAAGGTTATTACAAGGTCTTTTTATTTATACTAGATTAAGAAAATGAATTGATGGTATCAAGTTTATATATTGGTACTAGTGTTGTTAAACGGCTAAACTATCCCATGAAATCAGCTAGATTTTGAGTAAAAAATTAACTCAGACATGGGCCAGCTTATTGAGCAACATGAGTCGACTTGCTCGAGTCCCTTTAGTTGGTTTGAGTTTAATTTTGATCCGAAATTTATTTAATTGTGATGGAAACATTTAAAAAATATTATGCCGAATTAGTGTACGACTATCAAGTTTTGAGTGGAAAAATGGATTCAGAATCAATCTAGTTTGATGGGCAACATGAGTAGGTTGGTTAAATCTGCTCTAAAACTCTTAGGTTACTCTTGCTTATTTTTAACTAAAATTAAATAAATTAAAAAACTCTACCACACAGATTCATATATTGTATAAATATTATTAAAAAATCTACCACTCTAGCCTAATACTTTATTTTGGCTAATTTTATTTGAACAATATTTTACTTTTAACAATACGCAAGAAAAATTATATAAATCAATGAATATTTGACAGAATGATTTAAAATGGCAAAAAAAATTACTAAAGAGAAATTGAATTATGTCAAAAAACATTAAAATCTCTTAATAGTTTAATGGATTTACACGAAAATATAAAAATTCGAGTTAACGAACGATATTAAAAAATAATGAAAAGTAAAGAAAGAAGTTTTAAATATTTTAATAATTAATAAATATATTTCGGCTCAAAATTAAACTTGAACCAACTCATCTAGTCGGCTTAAGCCTGGAATTTTTATTAGTCCGAGCTAATTTTTACTACTTAATCGTAAAACTTGGCTCATATAACAACATTAATTGGTGGGTGATTCTATGACAAATCGAACAAAATAACGTGATTATCGAACGACGTTTTTAAAATAGATGAAAGTTAAATTGATTGTATATTTTATGCAAATCATAATTTTAATGCTCTAGCGCAAATATATCTTGAGTTATTGACCTTCAAAGTTTATGAGACCCTTTTCCTCTTTTAACGAATATCATATTACTTAAAATTATTTTGGTCTAAAGTAACAAATTATATTTCATTTTGTAGTCCCTAAAATTCTTCTTCAAAATTGCAAAAATTATTATAATAATATCATAAGTGTCGTTTCTGTTAAAAATTATTTTGAGAAGGATCTAATAGAAAAGTATGAAACTCACTGAATATGTTTATTACCAATATACTTATTTAAGTAAAAATATTAATATAGTCATTTAAATTTTTTTTAAAGACTATTTCTGCTCAAATTGTATTTTTCAGACAAATTTATAAAATTTAGGATCAATTTTAATTTAATTGGTTTTGCATAAATTTTTAAATATTAAAAGTTTATCCCATATTATATAAATGATTTATTTTATAAGTTCATCTTTATACTTTATAACTTTATAGATACCATATATTTTTTTTTCTCTTTAGCTTTCACCTTTTCTGGTGGTAAGCTCCTTCAACATCTCTCTCCACTTTATGTTATTCATACAATCTCTTTTACCTATTTTATACTTCTTTATATTGGCTCTAACTTTATGGCCCCATTGCCTTCCTCTTTTACGTTTGCCCATCACTTCCAAACTTTCAACTTTATTTCCTATGTAGTTCATAGGCCTTCTCATTGTGTGCCCATACCACCTAAGTCTGTTTACCATTAACTTAGTCTTAATGGGCACTACCTTTAAACTATTTAGTATTCTTATACTGCGCACCTTATCCTTTCTTGTTACCCCAGCAATCATCCTCAGCATTCTCATCTCCATAGTTTGTAGACTTCTCTCGTCTGATGTTTCCGAACTATATAGAATAGTTGGTTGTACTATGGAACTGTAGATTTTTCCCTTTAATTTGTGTAGGATTCTTTTGTCAAATAGCACTCCAGATAAAGATCTCCACTTTAACCACCCTTGATTAATCTTATTTTTTATCTCTTTTTCTATTGTGCCGTTTGTTTGTATAGTGGAGCCCAAATATTTGCAGCTTTTAATTGCGGATATCTGCCAATCATTTATATCAATACTCTCCGTTTCATCTCCTCCTATCACCATATACTCCGTCTTTTCTCTATTTACTTTTAATCCGTGCGTTTCTAGGATATTTATCCAATTCACTAACCTTTCTTTCATTTCATCCTTAGATTCGGCAAGTATCACAATATCATCTGCAAATATCATATTCCACGGGACTGTTTGAGGTATAGACTGTGCTAATACATCTATTACTGTAATGAAGAGAAGTGGGCTGAGAGCCGACTTTTGATGAACTCCTTCGGCTATTGTGAAGCCTGCTGAAGTACCTGTTGTGCTACGGACCATTGTTACCATTAAATTTTATTTTTAAAAAAATAATATATTATATTCAAATTATTAATATAATGTATTAATAAATGGAATTATAATATATTATTTTATTTATAAATTATATTTTAAGAAAAATTATTATAAAAAGGTATTTTCACAAGTCAAACAAAAAGAATAAACAACAAAAAAATAAGAATTTAAATTTTATTTAGTTTTCTATAATTTTATTTTAGGAATAAAAAAAATCAATTACAAAGGATGTTTGTATTAGAAGTTGAATATTTAATATGAACATGAATGTAGATGCCAATTTATTAAATATAATCAAAATCTAAAATAACATAAATAAACTAAAACGTAAAAAATATAAAATCAAACAAATATAAAAAGTCAAACTAAAAATTATAAAAAAAGGTTTTTCTTTTTTTTTAAGATGTCAATTTAATTTATTAAATATAATCAAAATCTAAAATACATAAATAAACTATAACGTAAAAATATAAAATCAAAGTCAAACTAAAAATTATAAAAAAAAGGTTTTCCTTTCTTTTTTTCTTCTTAATATTACATTTTTTATTTCTATATTTATACTACTAAAATTTACATAATCTGGTATACATATTCAAATTTTACATGAACTCTAAATATCAACTTTATATACAAAAAAACTATTTTCCGTAAATATTCAATATATAAACAAAACTATTTAATTAACTGCAAACAAAAATAATACCATTCTAATTATCACAACACCCTTCCACTAAAGTTGGATCCACCCTTCTGCGAATGACTAACTTTCTTTCGATTTCGACTTAGTCTTGCATTTCCACCAAATCTATTCAATCTTTAATGTATTTTAATTTATAACTACGGCTCTCTTTGCCTAGTATTCTTAGTTTCTAACAACCGTTCGTGTCCAATTACAGCTTGAACATTGAGTTATCCCCATCTTTTGCTAAGGCATCTCTTTTGTCCCATAATGTCTACGATAAAGATCTCCTATAACGATAAGGCTCTTTTGTAACGATACTGACTCTTGTCACGATCCTAAGGGTACCAATTTCTTGTAACCATAACCATTCCTTGTAATAAAGATCTCTTATATGATAGCAATTTCTTGTATCTTTTGATCCAAAATAAAAATCCGATCTCTAAATGAGCTCTATTGCGGCATGAATATTTTAATGATGAAAGCCGTTTCTTTTTATGAAGATTTTGGTTAATCAACAAACTAATATTTTGCTAAATATTATCAACTTAAATAACAGTTAAACCTATATCTTTAATAAAAATTGTAACGAATTTCTTTTAGTTAAAACGATCTCTTGTGACGAATTGCTTTTATCTATAACGATCTCTTTGACTAAAACGACTAATTCTATACTTTTTCGAACTACGACCATTTGCCTGGATATTGATACCATTGTTTCATTCATCTCATTTTGCGTCTTCGATGGTCATTTAATGCATCCCCCTCCCCCTTTATTTAGAATTTCTTTTCTTCGTTAATTAGACTGAATGTTTAGGTCCATCATAGTACATACGGTTTCGGCACCATTGTTAGAAGTTGAATATTTAATATGAACACGAATTGAAGATGACAATTTATTAAATATAATTAAAATCTAAAATAACAAATAAATAAACTAAAACGTAAAAATAGAAAGTCAAACTAAAAATTATACTTAATATTTACATTTTTTATCTCTATATTTATACTACTAAAATTTACATAATCTCGATATTCAAATTTTACATGGACTCTAAATATTCAACTTTATGTATAAAAAAAAACTATTTTCCGTAAATATTCAAATTTATATAAACAAAACTATTTAATTAACTTCAAACAAAAATAATACCATTCTAATTATCACAACAGTTTGAAATGACGAAACCATCAAATATGTCTATTATCAATATATTTAAATATTAAAGTAAAATGAAGAAAATAAGAATTGAATTTTTTTATAAATATAGGAATAAATAAACTAATTATAGAGGGCGTTATTGAAAAAGATGATTATAATATAATGTATATAAATAAAGTAAGAATTTTATATTATAAATAATCATAAATATTTCTATCATTATAAATACACTAGAATATTTATTAAATCCGTTTTTTATACCCCATTATAAAGAAAATATATTATAATTATTTTATCGATTTATTACTAAAATTGTAAAAACTATTAAATTTTGATCTTATTTTTTTTACTTTATTTAAATATATTGGCAATAAACATATTTCATAAGTTTCATGGTTTAAAATCCAAAATTTTTTTGAGTATTTTGAGAATCGTTAAAAGAGGAAAAGGCTCACATCGAACTTTGAATACTTAGAACTCGGAATATATTTGAGCTAAGACATTAAAATCCGGATTTGTATAAAATATACAATCCGTTTAACTTTCATCCAAGTTTCTCCCTTTTTAAAATAGTTGTCCGAATAATTTATCGATTTGCAATGGAATTGCTCTGATACGATATTAACTAAGGGGAGACCTGGGTAAAACGATTTGTATTTTGCATTTTTACCATAAATTTTGAAACATAAAAAAAACAGAACAAATTATAGATTTATTTGTAGTCAAATTCCACATCTACAAAAAAACGGTAGCTCTCTACCTATAATTCTTTAAGAGCTCTGATAAATTATGTGAAGTATGCCATTTTGCCCCATATCCAAGGTAAAGTGGTTAAAATAAAATTGAACATATTTATATTGTTTAATTAAATAGACATCTATTCATCACTTTTAGCAACAACTAATCAATACAATACAGGAATGAAAAAATGTATTTAAAATAGTACGTTTTGAGTCTGCCTATTTTAGACACATCAATCATTTTAGTCATTCTCCTCTGACCATTTCTTTGTTCCTTTTTGCTCAAAAGTATCATTTTATATGGTGTATACGTTTATATTTGAAAATTATCTTTTTACAACTTAAATCAAGCCGAATATTTTAATCGCTTTTTCCATAACAACTTTCCAAGATTATATATATTGTACACATTGTTATTGTGGACTTTTAAATTGAGCTAAACTTCCTATAAAATTTATTTTATATCATAGCTTTAAGGAAGATCTATAAAAAATTTTAAATTCTGAATCATAATTTCTTTTGCTAGGAGCAAAATAAACAAAGTGATTTTTTTAATTTTGGGGTAAGAACGGTTTTTTAGCGAAATATATCAAACCAGGAAAGTTTTTATAAAGATTGATTGATGTAAGAAATTAAATATAAAAACACATCTTCACACCAAATATAAGGTTTTTATGCTCAAAGGTTAATACGTTATTTGCGTTAACATTGTTAACCCGTCGATCGCTTTGCTCTGGTCTCCCTTAGTGCAATTACTTTCCATTTGTTGATCCCGAAATTTATATTAATTCTTGCTAATTTATTGAATTTTTATGAGTAAAACATACCAATTTTATAAAACATCTGTTAACTCAATGTTATTTTTTACTTTTCGAATTAACATTAAATTTAAGTATCCTTTGTAAAATCATCTTAATATATAATGATCAATCATATCAATAGAATATTACCCAAATTAAATAAATTTTTATGCTGAATCTAATTCGATTCAAAATATAATATTTTGGTAATTTATTTTCTCAAGGTTGCCTCTAGAGGCTTAGATATTCCTAACGTCAAGCTAGTTATAAATTACGACATGCCTAACGATATAGACGAATATATACATAGGATAGGTAGAACTGGAAGAGTTGGAAATACTGGTTTACAATTTTAATTTCTATCATAATTTTACATTCAACTGATCCAAACTACTATATTATGTCTAGAGCCCTGCAAAATAATTTTTTCGCGGTTCGAACCCAACTAAAAAAATTTACTGCCCAATCATAAATATTTTGTTCCAGCCTGACTCGATTAAAATAATTTATGAATCTGAGTTTAATATCTTAGTAAAAATTAAAAATGCCTTTAATAAAAGTATATTTACCCGCCCCCACCCTCCCCCCATAAATAGGCTATTATTAATTTGGAAGTGGAAATTACGTAAATGAATGAAGGACATGTGTAAAATTAAAAATAACATGTGATTCTGATTAACTTTTCGCCAAAATAAAATAATTATTGAGCATATTTATAATATTTAATTTTTGGGCTGATTTACTTCTTACAGCCTTGTCCCGGGACGAATAGTCTTCGATGCCCGAGGCTCAGGGCGTACATCCCATGCAGGCACTAATTATATTTAATAAAATATAGGTTTTTATACTCTATTATACAGTTTCTAAGTTTGGTACATCGGTCTTACTTTTAAAACTTTGACTGTAGTCCTACTTTAATACCTTCACCATATGATATATATTAAAATGATTGGAAATATTAATTTTTGTAATTCAAATGTCTGAAAATTTACAGGAAACTCGACTACATTTGTCAACGAAAAAAATAGGAACGTCTTTAAAAATTTGCATAAGACTCTTTTGCAAACACATCAAGATATTCCTGATTTCCTAGAAACCAATATTGGTCAATCTAATTACGCTAAAAAATAATCCCATTTTATAAAAATTGTTTGTGCTTAATTTTTACAATTTATTGTTTATTTATTTTTAACAAAATTCGAATTAGAGAAAAAATTTGGGTATCATAGTATTTTATGTGTCATTTATCAAAAATGTTACACAATTTAAAATATTATACGATTATAAATATAACAACGATTTTTTTAAAACAGTATTTGAGTTACCTTGTTAATTAGTACTATCTCATGATATAGTAAATATTTTAATATATTTATATTATGTTCCTAGCATAGGGCCTATGATTATTATAAAAAAATTTAACAAAATTATATATCTCCTAAAATAGTATATTATATATTTAATATACTATGTTTTAATTTAATATATTAAATTTTGTAATATTACCCTCGCAAATACTTATCAAGCATCATCTAGTTATAATATTTTCTTGAGATTTTATTAATTTAGTTATTTTTAAATATATTCTCCATCATTATATTATACTCTTTTCGCGGCCCTTTGTTGTATAATAATATATTATTGAAATGTATCATAGATTTAAAATTTAGAAAATTGAAACATCATTTTTTTAGATTTTTATACACGCGTTGTTAATTCTGAAATCCGTTGTTATAATCGTATTTATTCAAATTTTTTATCTTATTCGTTTTAGATAATATATATATCAAATTTTAATAATTAATTACTTATACATATTTTTTTTACAATCTCATATCTATGGGGGATATACATGGTGTTTGAAATATTTTTGAATCGGATTCGTCAAAAAATACAAATATTTCATATGTATTTTCTATATTTAAAACCAATCTTTTATATAAAATATATTTATTAAAAATTGTATGGTTTTTTGTATTGAAAATTTCCTATATAATTTGAATGACTATTGAACAATATTGTTTGATTAGATAAATATCTCAAACCCATAAGTATTTAGCTATTGGATATGAATTTTGAGATTTCATATTTTTTTGCTTCTAATTTCTTATTAATTATAATAGATTTATATGTTTTTTATATTAAATTTGAGTTAATTTAGTATAATCAATTTTTTTTGTATTTTATATTATTTGGAACGAAATATTTTTTTAAAAACTTACCATTGGTTAAAATGTAATATGTGATATATTATATATTAACAATGTTTGTTTTTTTTAAATGTCTACTAGTTATAATCAAAATTTAAACATTCTTTATTTTATTCACTTGATTATCACGCAAAATTTTATTCACCTGGCTATATTTAGTTTCGAACATTTAAGACATAGTTAAATTTTTTAACAAGGCATTTATGTCAATTATATATCATCCTATTAACATTAAATAAATTTTTAATATAGATATTTACCCTACCATGCTTCATACTTATAATTTTATTTTATATAGTAAAACTTCTAGTAAATTTACATTATAGTTAATCAAATTGGTACCATATAATGTAATCTAAATAATACAGATAACGAATATTCTTTAGAGAATAAAAAATTTATTCCCCCAGGTGAGTTCATTATAGCGAGGTTTTACTGTATTGAATGATAGAATAATCCACTTTAAAATTGAAATTTATAAGGAAATTTTTAATTGCACCTGAATTCACATGATTAACTCTACTATTTTTAATTAAATTAAGAAACGTCTAATGATGCTACATGTGTAACTCACATTATGTCATATAATTCTCTATAAAACGTTAAAAGGGCCTAATAAAGTTTTAAAAATGTCACAAAATTTAAAAATATGTTTTGATTTTGTTTTTGGATAGAATTTTCAAATTAACTTATAGAAATAACCTTAAACATATTGAAAAACTGGGACAATATTTTTTCTCATCAATGCAACTAGTGTTAAAACGCCCAAAGTCCACCCCGACCCAAAGTACGGGTCGTTTTTCCGACTCCGACTCAAAGTTTGAATCGTTTTTTCTACTCCGACTCAGAGTGGGTCGTTTTTTTCGACTTCGACCCGAGTTTAAGCCGTAAAAATGACTTCGATCCAAAATATGGGTCGTTTTTCTCGACTACGACTCAAAGTTTGGGTTGTTTTTTCGACTCAAATTCAAACATCGGGTCGTTATTTACGACTTCAACTTATTTGATTTTTTTTAAGCAAATGGGTAAAAATAGATATTGTAAAATGTTAAATTAAAATTTCAGTGAAGATGTACCATAGGAAAGTGACATTTGTCATAATCGTCATTTTTGAACTTTTTTAAGGCAAATGGGTAAAAATATAATTTGTAAACATGTTAAATTGAAAATTCAGTGAAGATGTACCATAGGAGTGACAATTGTCATTTTTGAATTTTTTTAAGGTAAATGGGTAAAAATTATATTATAAACATGTTAAGTTAAAATTTCAATGAAGATAATAGGAAAGTGACAATTGTCATAATCGTTATTTTTTGAATTTTTTTAGGCAAATGGGTAAAAAATAGATATTGTAAACATGTTAAATTAAAATTTCAGTGAAGATGCCCCATATAAATCTGACAAATTCATAATCATTATTATTATTACACTTTTTTGAATTTAATTGAAGCAAATAGATAAATATATACACTGTTGTAAACATGTTAAATCAATATTTCAGTGATGAAGAACCATGAAAAAATGATAATAGCTATGTTAGTAATTTATTGGAATATTTTGAAGAAAATGGTTAAAATATAAACTATAAACAAGTTAATCAAAATTTAAATAGAAAAGTGGCAAAAGTCATGATTATTTGCAGGGCCCTCGAGTACACAAGGTACTGGAGGACCCTGAGGCCATGCCAGGCCATTCTTTATTTCCATTTATTAACATAGTTATAATATATGTATCAATTAATATAAATGTCAGATCTTATTTTATAATTCACTATAGTATAATTATCATTTTAAAATGTGATGGCAATCCGCAGGATTTGCCATGTGCGAACTGATATTCCATCTTGGGAGAAAACAGAGAGGTATCCTCTAGCCTACGCAAGGTTAATTTAATTTGTTTAATTTAAATAAAAATACGAAAAAGTAAACAATTAACCTTGCGCAGCCTATTTATAGGCATGGGACTTTATTTCTTATGGTGGATACCCTAGTCTCTGTTTTTCTCCCTAGGAGGTAAAGCTGGAACAGATAGGTTATCATTATCATGATGACCGTTTCCAGTAGGTCTATCGGCCTATAGTTGACTATCGTCAAAAGTTATTGTGTACAATAATCTTTATTTATTTATATAATAAAAGGTTTTAACAAAATAATGTTGTTCATTAGTATTATGATCGGGGGGGGGGGGGGCAGACCCTCCACGTCGATGTCGTGTAAGGTGTTGTGCGCTTGCTCATCCAGAATCCACTGCCAACTCGGCTCGTCCGCAAGGTTATCTTCCGAAGCAATCCAGGTTAAGTTTCGCGCTAGATGGACGTAATTTGCGAATCCTATTGATAGCATGATCTTGGTTAGAAGTGATTCACTACAGGCGATCTGGACCCACCTTTTTTGGTGATTGTATAGGTCACTTGGCTATCGGTAACAATTGATGGCACGATTCCATATTTATTCATTCCGTATTTGCAGCCAACCTAGATTGCTAGTCTCATTTTGGTTAATGTGCGTGCCTGAATACTCTGGGATGCCCAAGGATAGCTTTGCTTCATCAAATGTGAATGAGGTTTTGTCCTTCAGTCCTTCCGCTATGCCTAAATGTGTATTCGAAGCGTCGACGTGGTTGATGGTATTAATCGGGAAAGTGAACGGGAAAGGTTTCATAAGCGCCGTGATGGCCGCAACGGCCTTGGGGTACGCTCTAATGTAGTCGATGGGCGGCATGCCCTCTGTATCTAACATAGTTTGATAGTATGGTGCGAAAACTCTACATAGGCCGGTTATGGAATAGGTATAGTGGTTGAGGATGCCCAACACCTCCAGCGCTATATCCTTTTCGAAAGCCATAGCTTGTAAGGTATGTTTGTAGAGTATCAATTGGCAGAAACGGAGTCTCTTCCTGTTTTCTGGATCTACCGTGGCCGTCTTGTTTTCGAAATCCATATCTATGCCTAAGTATCTGATTTTTTCCGGATGGGATCGTGATTGATTTTGTGACGTTTACAGTTAGTCCCCATGCTGATGCCATATCTAGGAGTGCCATCTTGTCTTCGAAGACTATTGCTTCATTGGCATGAAATACAATTACGTCATCAAGGTAGACCGAATAGTTGGCTCTCCTGATCCAGGACGATATTCTGTAAGGCGTATGGTGAGAAACCGGCGCCCATCGGGAGTATCTTATAACGATATTTGTTACCTACAGTTGCGTAGCCGAAAAATCTGGGCCTTGATTGCGCAAGTGGGATAGAATAAAACGCGGATTTTAGGTCGATCTTCGTCGCTTTCCTTGCACTAGCTAACATGGGTGCGATCATTGGAATGGTTTTAAGTCTAAACGGGTATTTTATGAAGTTTTTTGATAAGTTAGAAAAGTCGGAGATCACCCTCAGGGTTCCGTCCTGTTTGGGAATTAGGAACAGGGGTGAGCAGAAGGTTGTATCCGTTTGCTCGATAACTCCAGCGTTGACTAATTGGTCAATAATTGGTTCATATCTCCCCGCCAGTCTTATGAATCTGTTACAAAAATATCCTCCGTGATCAGCGATGGCTTGATTATCAAACTTTAGGCAAAAACCCCTTGAGGCGATTTTCTTTGTAAATGGCAAGTGGAGAGGATGAGGTCTAATGATGAATGACGCTAGATCAAGTGATGCTCTCAGATATAAAGTTGTCCCGTCTGTGGTGTCTATTCCCATCAACCTGAGCAGTCTATGAAAGCGTCCCATGGTTGCACTGTCGACCGTCGGTGATGACGGAGGCAAGACTGGGAGATCCTATCCATAAATACGTTGGCTAGGATAATAGGTTCTCCTTCGTGCTCGAACTGCTCGGTGATGGGTAGAGCGAGGTGTCTGGGTCATCTTCATCAATGTCATCTCCCTCGGACGGCTCCTTCTCTGGCACCCCTCTTGGCGAATAATTCTGACCCCTAACATCTCGGATCCACTGACGGATGTGTTCTTTGTCCAGTGCCGAAATACAGGTATTCGCCCAGAGTGCTAGGGCCTCTGAAATGCCAAGTTGTTGTGCTGACGGCGGGAGGGTTAGGACATAATCATTTACGGTTTGGCTTGGTGCCCCGTTTGATTCCACTCCTGTTGTTGACAGCGATGATTGTTGGCTCATCATTGTCGGTGGTACCGGGTTTTCCTTTTGTGGCGGTTCCCTATTTGCGGCCACCTCTGTAAGCAGAGTTAACTTGAAATGGCTACGGTTCTGGGGTGGGGGCTCCTCCTACAAATCTGCAGATTGAGTTTTGGGATTCATATTTGATCTTGTCCCAGCCCCAGGCTACCGATTTTGCATATAACGCCTTGGATGCGATTGCTCTAAGATATCCAGTGAAGAATTCATATTTATTTCTTTGACATAGCATTTGAGTGCTGGGAATTCGTAGACGTCTCTTCCTTTGAGCTGGAAGTTAGGCATTGATTCCGCCAGACAAATAGAGTTCAGGAAGTGCTTAGCTGTTTTAATGAGCTGTCGCTTATCGGTTTCCGCTTGAATGTTTAGCGTTCGAATCTCCTCTTCCGTTAAGATGAATTCTGTCTAATCTTTGGAAAGGTCTACAGGTAATTCTTGGGGAATAAAGAACGATTTTATATCCCGGCTCGTAGATTGAATATTGCTTCCGAATGTGAAGGGATTTTCTTGTGGGTTGTTCCTTATTTCGGGTAGCGACGGAGATATTGATAATCCCAATCTTTTGTTATCATCTTTTTCTCTTTGTGCCATAAATAACGCTATTAATTCTGAGATTTTCTTGGTGGTAGCATCTAATTTAGAGTTGATGTTGGTGATGTCACACTTAGTTTGGTTGAATTTATCGTGAACTATGGTACAAACTTCCTAAATGTCTCCTTTAGAGGTATTTTCGGCCATTTTCTTTTTTGTTGTGGATCCCGTTTTAGGGTTTTTATTTAAACTTTTAAACGAAATTTTAAGAATTAACTAATTAATTAATTAAGATTAATTTAATTGCAAGCGTGGTGTGTAATGTGTCGAAGAAAACAGAGAGGTATCCTCCAACCTACGCAAGGTTAATTTAATTTGTTTAATTTAAATAAAAATACGAAAAAGTAAACAATTAACCTTGCGCAGCCTATTTGTAAAAATCTTATTTATAAAACATGTTATATTAATTTTCAATGTAAATCGTAGAAAAAGATTCATGGGGCAAACAATCTCATAAATACTTCTTTATTTTCGGAAAACTGATT